TCTCCTGAAAGCCATAATTATTGTATAACAGTATATTTGAAACTCACCCACGCTGAGATCATTACTTTCTTAATAAGCATTTCTGTGAAATAAGTACACAAAATTCACACGATATGACATGACATTCTGAATTCAGTAAACTGTATAAATTGAACACAAATTTATACATTTAAACAAACAAACAAACATTCTCCCAGATGTTATGAGAAGGAGACATTTTTATTCTTATTTAAAATTTATTCAGTTTACTATAGGACCGCCAAATACTTCAAACTTAGATCCTGGTGATAAGTGCCTCCCACGCTTACTTAATTAAAAATCTCCTTAAAGTAAATTAAAGTACTGAGTAAAGATCAAACTAATTTTCATGAACATTGACTAATTATTCGATAAATTATTCGAACTAGTACACAATTAATGAACTGCTATGTAATATTAATCCTTCTGTATGGCAGTGAATGTTGGATAATTTCCCCAGAGAAGACTTTAGGTAAGAGAAATCTGATTCTATAGTAGGAAGATGAGAATACTATGGATAGAACCCGTCAACAATGAGAACGTTTTATGGAAAATGCGAAGAAAAAAAAAAGTGAACACTTATACTTAGAATCAAAAAGGGAAAGTTGAATTTCTGGGGATGCACATAACAAAAGAGGATTTGGAAAATTTAACACATCAAAGTGACTGAAGAAGGTAGACGGTCACCTACCTAAGAATGTATCGAATAAATGGATGGTGGAATAGAGAATATTAATTATATATATATATATATATATTAAATAGTAGAGCAGAATGTCTATGATAAAATTAATTAATTCTAACCCCAACTAATATATTAAAAGCTCATCCTGATCAGGCAGAGAACTTTAGCACCTCGCGTCATTCATATATATATATATATATATATATATATATATATATTCCATTATAGCTATTTTTATACACGAGCTTTAAAACAATTTTCGTCTCTTATCAAGAGAACAAAGGCTGAAAATTTACACACCTATTTCCAATATAAAAATATCTGCAAGTAATCGTTAGCCAAGATAATTTTGCTCAACGTTATATTTCTAAGGCAGTAAGGTAATTCGCAATGGCCTTCGTATCAATTAGTTAACCCTAGTATGTCTGTAGCAAATATGAAGTATGTATAACATTACTACTTGAAAGCGATTGCTAATACAATAGGAAGTTAGCCTTGTATTTAATACGTGTCTATAGGCTTAAAGCAATGGATAGCAATCTTTTTATTTCATTCGTTCGTAAAGCGAATTGGATCATCACAGAATGTCCTTGCTTTGATAGCTTTGTGCCAGTCCAAACTAGACTATTTTCACTGAGAACACTGATTCTCATTTAATCCCCGAAAGCAAGCAGCACCAAATCAATACTTATTGGGTGAGTACATTAGAACACTGGGTACTGCAAGCAAGTTGTAGCCCCGAGGAGGCGCCTAGTCTCGCTCGACCGGTTTGTTCTTTATAGCGTTCGATTTATGACGGACAGAAAATGAAATCGATAGATATAGGGAAATAAAAAGTGGTGCAAAACAAAGATGTGTCTTCTCACTGGATTTATTCAAGCTCTATAGTAAGGGTGTATCAGAATTAGCCACACTCTTAATATATATATATATTATTCCATTATATATTAAAAGCTCATCCTAATCAGATAAGATATGCAGATGACAGAGTTGATAGCAAACACAGAAAGGAAACTACAAATTTTCCGACAGAAGGAAAGTTAGAAAAAAGCTCTAAACTCAATTGTAAGAAGACAAAAAGTATGGTTGTTAGCAAATGAGACAGCCCAAAAATGCAAATTAAAAAATTGGAGATACCAAAATCAAACAAGTACAATAATTTAAATATCTGGGAAGTGTTTTATCAAGATGGAAGGTAATGAATGAAAGCAAGAGGAAAGGATTAAACATCAATTGCAAGAAGACAGAATGCATGGTTGCTAGCAAAAGGGACAACCCAAAATGCAAATTACAAATTGGGGATACCAAAATCAAACAAGTACAATAATTTAAATATCTGAGAAGTGTTTTAACATAGGACTGAAAATGCGACGCTAAAATGGAAAATGCTCCAATTTATCTCTTATCTTGCTACGGGTAAACTAGTAATGGTAGCCATGACTTGGGGGGGGGGACAAACAAGTAAAAGGATAACTCTGAATTTAAAACTATGGGGAAGGTAACGGGAAAACACTACAAAGAATAGTCATGACTATGCAGAATTTACAGATATTAAACAATAAAAAAGCTGTGGAGGTCCGTAATTACGGAAGTCGTGAAAGAACAATACAGGGTGTCCATAAAGTTCGTGTGCACTTTATTTGCGATAGAAATAATTTGTAAAAAGGATTAGAAAGAAGTAGATCTATATTTTTTAAGGTTTTATTTAAATTTTATCTAAGTTTCCACGTCCTCCATCATTAGCAATACAAAGGTTAATACGATTTTGCAGTTCATGGAAAACATTTGTCAATTGATTTACAGTAATGCCTGAAATCACATTAGTTATTTTAGCTATACTTAAAACTAAGTACATTAAACTTTATAGCATTTTTTACAGATTATTTCTATCGCAAATACAAATAAAGTTATAAATTTTTTAAAATGCACACGAACTTTATGGACACCCTGTACTTGAGAGTATTACATAGCAGACTTGTTCTACTGACATTAAAAGAAAAAAAAAAAAAACGCTGACTGTACAAGTGATTGGCAAGTAATTTGAATCGGTACTTTTTTTATTACATACCCCCAAAAAAGGTGTTAAACAAATGCATGTGATAAGTACGTAATCCCCAATTTACATAAATGTTTATCGTCAAAAACGAGCAGTCCTCATTTACTTTGCCAACAAAACAGAAAATAGAGAGTCGTAGAGAACGTTTTTTTTAATATATCCTGCAAATCACTAACAGACACGAATGAAGGAAAATATGCCCAAAAGCGTCGACGCATAAATTTAAATAACAGACTAGACAGGAATATTAAGTATATGACGAATTTGCAGAAGCTGCTATGATGTCATCAACATGGGATCAAGTTATCGCTAAATCTCATTACATTAAGTAAGAAGTCTTAGCAAAAGGGTGGCTTTCATAGAAGAAAAGCTTCCTTGGAAACCTTCTCACAATAGTACGGTGCCGGTTAGCACCAACATCATTAATTGTGGTGTCAGTTTCCGGCCCTAATAAGACATTTTTTAACAGCATATTTTTGGTTAGGCTTATAAACGAAACAATTAAAGTTGGTTGAGCTTCAATCAAGAGACTTGAGCTACACTTGAAAGTCCCGTGATAACTAAATTTTGAATTAAAATTGTGTTGCTCAATTTAATCCAGCTCATTTTAAAAGTCGTGAAATTGCTTCTAAAACCGTTGAGAAAATAAAATTATTTACATTATGAAGTTTTTTTTTTTTAAATACGTATACAGAAGAGATACATATTTTTTTTTTTATTTTAATAAGACAGATTTTTTTTCTATTGCAACAAAACTTTTTCCGAGTAGAACAGACGGAATTAAAATATAGTGTCTATACACGATGGGCGAATAAACCCGATGAAAAAGTAATTAGACGGAGAAGAAAATATATAATTTGAAAGAAAAACATTACGAATAATAATGAAACTCGTTGTTTAGGTAGCAAAATCAATTATTTATCACATTAAGTACGACTCAAGGTATTGGCGGTATGTTAGATTACCGCTTTAGGGTGAGCAAAAACAGATACAAATAAATAAAAAGTATCAAAGTACATTACGAAACTAGATTGAATTTACAAATCACATTCTCATTCATACTTCCAGATTAAGTTGAAGATTTTATCAGTTTCACTGAAAACAAAATCCACATGTGTAGTGTGTACGAGAGAGAAATTACTGTTTTCATTTTCAGTTTTAAAATATTGAAAATTCATAAACAATTGATAGTTTGAAGGAAAGTAAATAAATAAGTAAGTTAAACATTGAATAATAATAAAACGTAAAATAAAATTATCTCACCGAAGTAAACTTCCTTAGTACAGTTAGGACACTTAGGCATTTTGCTTGCTATTAAAAAAAATAAACTATTCAAAATATATGATTAATACTACACAGCAATTAAGTTGGCTGACGCGTTCGGATCCAAGTGAAGAACCTAAATACAACTGAGTTGAATTACAGCAGCAGGAGCAATTGTGACGAGTAAGCGTGGTAACAGCAAGTGATATTCACCAAGTTTACTGTGAATTCTTTTCTCTTCTTCTTCTTCTTTCTGATAGGACAAAAAGACTGAAAGAGAGAGTTAAGGGAAAATATTATTGAAGAGAAGGGAAATAAGAAAAGTGTGTGGGGGGGGGGTATGTGTATTTTAAACGTTACATATGCACAGCTTCTTAAATAGACACACACACATATATATATATAGAAAGAAAGAAAGAAAGAAAGAAAGAAAGAAAGGGTCACTCCAGCCCATTACTGCACAATAAAAAAAAAATGCGGCGACAATCTTTCTTTCAAGGAGGAAGGAAACGCACTTTTTATCGACATTCGAAATTCTGTGCTTGAACATCAAATCCTAAAACTCCAACGTGAAATATGCAAAATAAAAATATGTCACAAAATAAAAACGTATTTTTCCTTATTATTAATTAAATTTATAATGGACTTGTTGAAATTTTGTATCCCAGACTAAAACACAACCAACGGATTGATTCGTTTTCTATGACTTATCAAACCCTTTTCAGGTTATTTAAAGCCATATTGTAAGAATTTTTTTTTAGATAATAATGGTTTAGTGATACAAGTTTTGCTAAATTAACCCATAGCCAGGGGGAGAAGAGTTGAATTCATTCATACCTTTTCTATGTGTGAATGTAGCGAATCCAATGGAAATTGGAACTCAAATTTGCGATTAACAATTCTGAACCATTATCCATTAAACTACTGTAGTGAACGAGATAATCAAGTACCCCGAAAAAACGACAATACAAAAAGATTATGCTGCCGCAACATCCAAGTTGGTGGACACTCGAGTCACCATTTGTGAGTTGGAAGAAAGAAAATCACTTGTAACGCGTCAGGAAAATAACTCACTAACGCCGTAGCCAAAAATGCCCGAATTTTCCTTCTTCGGCAGATCGCACACAAAACACGAACTTTTTACCGGGATACTTGATTATCTCGTTCACTACACTCCCCCCTGTCACATAAGTGACACTCATGGGCGGGCCTCTTTATTCTTAAGCTTCACTTGGGGTCATTGTTCTTTGAACGTGGACCTCCGACGGAACTCCTCACTGACGACACTGCATTCCGCAGTGGACTATTCAAAGATTTTGTGGCTTCGTGGGGAGTACACCTCAGATTTCGCTGCGCGTATGTCCCATCAGGGAATGGCATAATCAAGCGATGTCATCGGAGCATCAAAAGAATCGCTGCTAGGAAGCAGTGTTCCATAATGGAGGCGGTGTATTGGTACAATGTTACTCCGAGAGACAATAATGTATCGCCCTCAACTGCGCCAGCCAACATGATTTATCAGTACAAAGTCCGGCTACGAGGCATTGACGCAACACGTTCAACTGAACGGATAAACGAACGAGCGCCGTATGACTTGGGTGATCGCGAGTGGGTGAAATCTCCACATAGCCGGTGTACAACCCGGTACCGGGTGGGGCATGTCACTGGACTAAGTAACTCGCGTTCTGTGCTGGTTGATGGCATATCAAGACACATAAAGGACTTGCGTCGCTATGTAGGTACAGATACGTCAACAAGTGACACTAGCAGTGAGTGCTCAGAAAGTGAACAAATAATTACCATCGGAGGTAGGGCTAGCACCCCTTCAGATGGTGAAGACTCTGTGCGTGAGGTTGTCAGACCAGAAGAATCCTCAGAAGAAGAATCTTCAGAACATTCTTCAGATGATGAAGACTCTGCGCATGAGGTTGTCAGATCAGAAGAAACCTCAGAACATAACACACAATCTCCTCCAACAGTCGCCCCGCTCCGGAGAAGCTTAAGAATAAAGAGGCCGGCCTATGAGTGTCACTTATGTGACAGGGGGGAGTGTAGTGAACGAGATAATCAAGTACCCCGGAAAAAAAGTTCGTGTTTTGTGTGCGATCTGCCGAAGAAGAAAAATTCGGGCATTTTTGGCTACGGCGTTAGTGAGTTATTTTCCTGACGCGTTACAAGTAATTTTCTTTCTTTGTGTGGTGAAAGTAACAGATTTGCTTTGAGAACGCTTACTCTTCAACTACCCACACATCCCAGATTACAGCATTTTGTATTACCAAGCGGTCACCCATCTAGGTACTGACCAAGCTCAACGTTGCTTAACTTCAGGGATCGTACGGAAACGGTGTTTCAACGTTATATGGCCGTAAACCGCTGAAAGCGCACAAATCTAACATTCTTATATATCTGATCATATCTAGCACCATGAATACTCTCTATAAAGTGGCGAAAACTATAAGAAAATAAATTCAACCCCATGTTTTGGAACAATTATTCTTCACTTATTAAACATTCTGGCAACTTATGTGTGTGTACGCGCATGCGCGTGCGCACGTACATATGTATGAAGAAAGACAAAATGAAAACATCTTAGCCGACGCGTTTCGTCCTCTGAGGGACTTTATCAAGGCAAATGTAAGGACTTTATTTTGTGACAAGTATTTGCATAATGTTAGGGAAATCTTAGAAGTGTCTTTTAGATTTGCTTTATTCTTTATTACTATCATTTTTTTTCACACAACACTTTATGTCTGATCATTGGTTCGAAAAATTTCAAGACATTAAAATATTCTTCGGAAAGTTCATTGAATCAAAACCGGAATCGTACTTTTACGGCGGAATATAAAATTTAACTAAAAGGTGATGTAAGGACTTCAAAAAAATTGGGAAACTATTTTGATGACTGTATAATGATACTATGAATTTATATAAATAAAAGATTATGTAAAAAGTATTTTGAGAAGCGCACGAGCATGTGTGTGTGTGTGTGTGTGTGTGTGTGAACATATATATTCACTCGGGATTAAGGTGCTCAACAGATATAATTGAGAAATAGATGCTTCCTTTGTTTTGAATTCCATCTAACATCAGGTGTTTCCCTCTGAAAATAACAGAGATGACATCAACGAACGTCCACACACGTTGAACAAAGAAAATTTTACTTTCTCCTTTTTTTCTCACCCACCCACTCTCGCTCTCTCCCTTACTTTGTCCTTTCCTTCTTTCTTTTTATTTCATTCTTTCTTTCTCACTTTCCCCCCACACACATTTTCTCTATTTTACTTTGTCTTTTACTACTTTCTTTCTTTCTTTCTTTCTCTCACTCTCACACGCCCCCTCTCTCTCTCTCTTTTACTACGTCCTTTCCTTCTTTCTTTCTTTCTTTCTTTCTTTCTTTCTTTCTTTCTTTCTTTCTCACTCTCTCAAACACAAAACGCTCTCTCTTTATTTCTTACTTTGTCCCTTCTTTCTTCCTTTGTTTCTCGCTCTTTCACACACACACGCTCTCTCTCTCTCTCTCTCTCTCTCTCTCTCTCTCTCTCTTACTTTACCCGTTTCTTTTTTCTTTTTCACTTGCCCACATACATACGTACGCTATCTCTCTCTTTTACTTTGTCTCTTCTTTCTTTCTTTCTTTTTTCTTCCTGACTCTCAATCTATCACGCACACACGCTCCTCCCCTCTCTCTCTCTCTCTTACTTTGTCCGTTCCTTCTTTCTTTTTCACTCTCTTAAACACACACTCTCCCTCTCTCTCACTTTTACTTTGTCCGTTCTTTCTTTCTTTCTTTCTTTATTTCTCACTCTCTCTCACACAGGGGCTCTCTCTCTCTCTCTCTCTCTTTGTCCGTTCTTTCTTTTTTTGCTTCTCGCTCTCTAACAGACATACTCTCTCTCTCTCTCTTTCTTTCTCTTTTACTTTGTCCTGTCTTTCTTTCTTCTTCTTTTTTTTCTTTTTTTTCGTCACTCATTTAAACAAAGTAGCTAAACATAGTCCAGAAAGAACTGATTGATTTATTTCAACGGCTTTGTCTTTGTAGGTTAATTCAAGCCGAACAGATTTTTAGGACGTAAGAATTTAGATTGTAATCTTTTCTTGTGAACGAATATTACATAAACAATATTTCTGGAAATAACAATAATTTTCCAGATAGTAGGCCTACTATTTAATCCATAGTTGCTGGTGCGAATGGATTCATAACTTACCCAAGTGTATCTGCTCGTAAGTAAATGTAACAAACTCGACTAGAATTCGAACTCGGCTCTCCGATTTATCATTCTGTGCCGGTATTCATTATATCACCCATACATCCAGGCTCCGATAAATGTATTGAATTTATTATCAGATATCATGTAATGAATTCAATACAATTATCAAACCACAACGAGCGGTTTGTCTGCGAAAATCAAAGTCGGTCCTAGGATGTCTGAACATTTTTTTATTTTGACTATTGTTGCTCTGTTTTTGATATTGAAAGCTTTCTTGACAAGAACCTGCCCGCCTTTAAACGAGTGATTTTTGCAAGGCATAATAGATTTAGGCACGATCACACACTTACACATTTACTATGAAAAGAAAAGAAAATCAACCTTCCACCAAGGAAAAGTGCTTATATAAATGAATAACAAAGAATATAAACAGTCAATTGCTGATATCATTTGATGAGTGGAAGGGATAATTGATGGAGGGGCAGTCTACGAAAGTTTAGACAGTATGTAACACGAATCAGCAAAGTGACAAACTATTTGTATTAATTCTATCTATCTCTCTATCTATTACAGTCCCTTTCATATCTCTCTCTCTCTCTCTCTCTCTCTATATATATATATATATATATATATATATATATATATATATATATATATATATATATATATATATGCTAAGAATATAGTTAAGTTAATAAGGTATGCTATATTTATGTGTTAAAGTTCTCGATACCAGGGATAGAGTTTATATAAACATAAAAGGGACATTGAGGTCAACAACCACCCATCGACGTCAGTCTTTTTTAGGCTTAAATGTAATCGTCAGGCCATATATATATATATATATATATATATATATATATATATATATATATATGTATGTATGTATGTATATATATATATATATATATATATATATATATATATATATATACAGAGAGAGAGAGATAGAGAGAGTAGGGGTAGTTTTCACCGAATTTCATTTTTCTTTTTCATTATTCTATTTTAATCATGTCCGTTTGGTTTCTTATGTCTCACATAGATCGTATTTTCTTTTTGTAATATTCGGTAGTATACTTTTGTCATGAGAAGGACACTGCCAGCTGCCGTCGTCAGTGCAATGGAGATAAAAAAAAAAAAAAGCTCATTATCTCTCTTGTACTAGCGATATTAAAATTTACTTATGTTACAGATAAATATACACAAATATACTTGATGTATTTTTATTCTTTTATATGCCTTGTCCCTTCTGGCGATCATGACTCTCCACAATTTTCTGTCCTTTGTAGCTCTTAATAAAGTTTGCCTTTTTCTTATCTCTCCTAAATCCTGTTCTGCCATCCATTTACACAAACTCGTTATGCGCCGTTTACCTCTCTCCCGTTTTACCTTCAATATTTACTGAGAGTGTTAAATTTTCCAAGCCCCACTTTATATGTCCTAGAAATTTCAATTGTTTCTTTCTGATTCTAAGTATAAGTACACTTTTTGTTTCTATTTTCTCTAAAACTTCGTCCTTGCTCACATATTGCGCCCATGGCATTCTCAGTATCCTTCTGTAGAACCACATTCCTATCGCTTCAAGTTTCTTCTTCATCTGTGCTTAAGTGGTCCAGCATTCACTGCTATATAGGAGAGGGCCGATATTACATAACAGTTCAGTTCGCTTTTCTTTGCTCCTAACAAAATTTTCCTCTTTCTTAATACTTTACTTAGCTTTTGAGAGTCATATTAGATACACATATACACACATAAGGATATGAGCAGACACTCTCCTATAAGAAAGCACATTAACACACGCACAAATGGTACATTCTATCTCTCTATCTCTATCTCTCACACACACACACAGAACACTCACACATACAGGGGTTGGACAAAATAATTGGAACACTTGTTAAATTCAAAGAAAATTTATTTAATATGGAGTTGGTCCTCCTTTAGCTTCACAGACAGCTTTAATACGTCTAGGAATTGAATCATACAGCTTCCTGACTTCATCCACAGGAATTTACAGCTATTCTTCCATTAAAACCTTCTCCAGCTCTTTACGACACGACGGTGGAGGATAGCGGCTCCTAACTTGTTGCTCCAAAATGCACCACAAATGTTCAATAATATTGATATCTTGAGATTGGGGAGGCCACTCCATGTGTTCTAGCTCACTTTCATGCTCTTCATACCAATTCTTAACCACTCAAGCAGTATGTATTGATGCATTATCGTCTTGGAAGATGCAGTCACCACCAGGGAATAAAGTCTTGGCCATTGGATGAACATGATCTCCCCAAATGTTCAAGTAATCTTTGCTGTTGATTCTACCATGCAGGGCAACTATTGGACTGAGACATTTCCATGATATGGCGGCCCAAACTATCACTGATCCACCTCCATGCTTCACTGTTGGAAGAAGGCAGTCAGGGTTGTAAGCTTCTTTGGGCTGCCTCCACACATAAACTCGCCCTGAAGTTGGGAAAAGAGAAAAACTGGACTTGTTTGAGAATATGACTTGCTTCCATTGGTCTGCAGACCAGGCATTGCGATCTCTGCACCACTTCAACCTCTTTTGAATGTTCCGAGTGGAGAGAAGAGGTTTCTTCACAGCGGCTCTTCCATGATATGCAGCCTTATGGAGCTCACGCCGAACAGTTTTAGTAGAAACTGGACTATTCAGATGATTATTCAACTCAGCAGTCACTTTGGCCGCATTTATCCGATGATTTTTTGCCACATTGTGTTTCAATGTACGTCAGTCCCTGTCAGTAAGTTTGCAAGTCCGGCCCGAATTGCTACGGTTGCTGGAGGTCTTGCCCTGTTTCTCGAATTGCACCAGTGTTCTTGATATGGTAGCTCTTGAAAAACCAAACAGTTCAGCAACCTTAGTGATCGAGGCTCCTACCATGCGAGCTCCAACAATTTGCTCTTTTTCGAACTCGGAGAGGTCACGCATTTAGCTTAAATTTTACTAAATTCTAAAAATGAATAAGACAAAGACAGTAAATTAGATAAATAAACGTATTTACAATAGATATAACCTGCAATTACGAAGTTTTAGTTAAAGTTCTTAATATAATAGGTCTTTGAAATATAGGAATGGATATTGCAACTGCTCCAATTATTTTGTCCAACCCCTGTATATATACATATCCACGCACTCTCACACCAATACACACTCATTTTCTCTTCCACATAAGATCTCTGTCAACACATATACTCTCACTCTAGCACAGACACCAACGCAAATCTGTTAAAGAAAAAGTGTGTTTCGTAGAACGTTTTTTTAATCATTTTGTTGTGCCATTTTATCATGTCAATCTTTTGTACCTTAAATTGTAATCTGAAACTTTTATTAAAAACTCTCCATAATAAACTCTTTGTAAATGTAAATTTTGTTTACACCTATCACTATGACTATGACTGGGACTGAGAAGACTAAGATTAAAAAAAATGTTGCTGGGTAGCATAAATTATATTTGGTGTCAGAGGACAGGTCTTTCAGGTTTAGCGGATATTTTGTCAAAAAAATAAAAAATATATTTTTTAAACAATGAAACCTAAATAAATATATATCATTTTTGTTCAAAATCGAAAAATATTAAAATGTTCAATAATCGAAAACATTTGCTAGTATTTTGATGATTTCACTAACATTAAATCATATTTATAAACAAAAAAAGAGTTTTTTGTAGATAGCTAGCTAGATAGATAGATAGATATCAAGAACAATATTGGGGAAAAATGTGTGATAAAGTGGAAAAAGTTTTCATGTGGGTATTTACCTCATTTCCCTACAGAGACGTGATGTGTCACAAGGTTGGGTTTATTGTGGGCAACCCGAGCGCATACACCCGGGACAGGGACAACAATTCTCAAAGTCCCCGCAACCTTCGATAGCAATTTTTTTCTTTTTTTTTTTTTTTTTTTTGCGGAGAAGTTTTCGTTCTGATGAGCTGAACGTCTCAGTGTTCACGAAATAAAAATTATAAACGAAATGGATAATTAAAGTCTCCGTCTCCTTATTATCATTATAATGTACAATGAGCTCTCCCTGGATTTATATCCTCTTCGGAATTATCCCTTCCAGTCACAAAATGATAAAACGTATAATTATATATATATATATATTTCTAGAAAGAAATTCGGATTACCAACACACAAACAGAGAATGTCTCATATCGAGAATATTTCACATTGAACATGAAGAAAAATTAATTATTTTTAATAATATGTAGAAATCTCCACTTTTACCTGAAGACGGTCGCGAGACCAGAAACACGTGTCGTAAAATTATGTAAAACAAAGCATAATATTTTTTTCTAAATAAATCCACATTACAACCAAAAACGTTTGCGGCACCTCTCTTCTCTTCTTTTATATATATATATATATATATATATATATATATATAACAAGGGACACTACGACGTGATGTTAGCGAATTTGTCTCGCTAGTTAAATTAAGATTGGGTAATAAATTAGATCCTCACTTTGTGCTCTCTACTTTCGGCCTTGTGCCACATTTAAGCTATGCTTAGTAAATCACTATATATATATATATATATATATATATATATAATTTTAATGTGTGGTCATCAGTAAAAGGATGAGCCTGAAATGCGATATGCAGATCGGGAATACCAGAATCAAGCAGACGCGGAAGTTTAAATATGTGGGAAGCGTTTTGACAGAGGACGGTAAGTGCGACACCGAGACCCGTGGACATAGTGGGATGGCCAAGGACGCATTCCAAAAGTTGGGCAGAGTATTGCGAGACAGGAGGATATCTTTGATAACAAAGAAAAGA